TAATAAATGAAGTGCATAATTTACCATGATACTCATATTAATTGATGCATATTTTATTGGATTAGAGAAAATGATTTGAAATGATTAATAAATACTGTGGGTATAACAGGAAAAAAAATTTGTCTTCTCTTAATATGCGTAAAGTGTCAAGTAAAAATAAAAATCTATTTTTAGTATACCTGCCAAGTAAAAGTGAATGGAGGGAGTAATTTGTTAGCATACTCACTTGTATATATTGGCATACACAAGTAATGAAATGTGAGCGGTTATTATAAGTTTATAGCATTCCCTTCTTTTCTTCTTCTGCAGGTACCTCCATTGGAGAGCTTTGAATTCTCCATTTTTATTCTCTGATTAGTTTATATTTTGCCAATTATTTATGATTGATAAAGATTACATTGGTAGGTAAAATTTGGAATTATGTTCCAATTATTTAATTTTGAACGACTGCAAAATCTGCAAGATTGTATCACTAAACCATGTATTTCGAGTAGGCAAGTTAAATGTGGGTTTAGTGGGAAACAAATCCTTAAAATACGTGACTTATGGACACTTTTGGTATTTACTAAACGGGTAAACACGTAAGTACATCAAAAGATATTTATAAATTGATTTGAGTATACCAAAATGCCTTCATAATCTTGTCCCTTCAGAAACATATGATGAATAAGAAATAATCTCCTATTATTTTCCTAAAAAAAGAAATCCTTATCACAATTCGACAAAGCGATCGGATATTACTCCTCTTTCTTTGAAGTCACACGGTCGACTCGGTCCGCAATTTTGTGGTGGAGTTGTTTGCTCTAAATTTCAACCTTCATATTGAAATTTCCCACAATGTTTATAAAAATCAACATTGTCCATGTTTTCCCCTTCCTTTTTCACCCCTTTTTCCTTTTATGAGCGAGGGGAGGTTAGTTTGAAATAAATGCATGGTGATATCGACATAAGTAAGAGATATTGAAGACCTTAAAACACTTGTAGTAGATGTAAAATTAATTAAAATAAAAGTCCCTCATTTCTAAAATTTAAAATTTTAAATGAAGTGGTTCATAAAATTCAATATGAAGTCTACTGCCAACTATTAACAAAATATTTCGCATGTTTGACCCAAAAATAAATATTTTGAGGTAATTGTACTTTACTGAATCTTTTTCCATATAAAAGGATGCGTTAAGACGTTAAACAAACTATATAAAGAATGGTCCCTCTTTAAAAGTCTAATCTTTAGATAAGGTAGCTTCCATAATTCAATAGCTTCTTTTGACTTCTTCTTTAAGAACGGCTGAATTTGTTGAAAATCTATTTAACGAATGGGATTAGCAACAGCAATGGTACAGTTATGTTTAATTAGTATTTAATTCTAGGATACATGCTTGGCAGCATTTTCTGTCTTGTCATATCAGTTTTTTACACATTAAAAATTAATAATAAGAATTATTTGACTAATTCTTCGTTATTTATTCTTTGATCTTTCACTATCGCTTCTTCATCAATTGGGTAGAGTGAAAAGGAAATTGATTGGAGAAAAATAAGTGTTACATTTTAACTTAAAAATTAGACGCTCTTTTAAATAAATAAATAAAAATTAATATCTCCTCCTTTCCGTGCTTATTCATTCAAACCAATCAACCCCTCAATAAACTTAGAATGAACCTTTAATTTTAGCTTCTAGAATTTTATTTTTTTCACATGTCGAATAGTATCTTTTTTTAATCTACCGTTAAGCAGGGAGGTATCTTCTTTTTCTTTTAATTTGGTATAGCATTTTCGGGAAACAAGGGAACTAAAAATAACATTCTGTAGCATAAGTTAGTAGACTTTTCTTATACTGATCAATAATATTTTCTGATCCAATAGGGTTGAAAATTATACATTCTCTCCTCCAAAATAGAATATTCGGGATTTAAACTCTATGGGTTCAACTATTAAAGTTTTTAGCATTGAACTTATAATATTTTTAAAGTTATCGGTTCATATCTAATATTTTTACAATTTTAATAAATATTTACTCCGCATAAAAAATTATGGGTTCAACTGAACCCGTCGATAACACATTACAGTCGCCCCTGATCCAAAAGTCAAAGACGACATATACGAAACATTTTTCTCAAATTCTGTCATACTGAACCCACACATAATTTATGGATAAGCTGATTCCACCCCTATTCTTCCACACTTTGGACTTGCTATAAAAAATCATATTTGGAGGCAAAGTGGAACAAGATATATAGTTTTAGAGAAGCCTAGGCGTGGAAATTAAAAATGTCTATCTAAAAGAACACAGTTACATGGCCTCTGTTAATGCTGGTTTTCTTTGTACTGTGCATGAATTCGTGGTGTGAACATGGTGAAGCAGCAAGAATCTTCTCAGACTTCTCTGCAATTCCAGTTGTTGCATATCTTCCCTTTTACTCTTGATCTCTCCTTTTGTTTTTAGACAAAACAATGTGTGTGTGTTTAAAGTTTGTGTTTTAGACATTTGAATGTGTTGATATCGTTATTGGCAGTGACGCAGAGGCTTGGCGGACTAGACAGCAACCGCCGGAGCACCAGGGAGTCTCCCGGAGGGAGCTATCCTGCCCCGGCAGCTAATGTAAACGACCATGTACATCACTAGCTACTGCTTGATGTCAGTGGCGAAATCAGAAAATTCAATAAGGATATTCAAATTTTGAACACTCTTTGCCCAGTGGGCTACGTAAAGGTGTTCAAAATCTATTTATTAATTAATAACAACTACTTAATATTTTACCTTATACGTAGTATAATTTTTTGGCGAAAGGTGTTCAGTTGACCACCCTCGGGCCAACATAGCTTCGCCCCCTGCTTGATGTCATAGTATGTTGGATTATCTATGTAACTGGATCAAGATTTAGTGACCTCTATTTTGTTGTGGACTTCTCACTTATAATAAGAAGACTTTGTTTTGTCTGTGTTT